AAAAAACTTCTAAAACGTTAAAGGTGTTATTCCCTGAATTGCATTGCTTATAGGATTTTGAAGCTCGATTACAACACATTCGTCTACTTTAAAACAACCCAGCGAACCAAAAGCAATAAAATCAGATGATATCAAATCAAGTGAAAATGTTGCCATTTTCATGTGCCCCTAAGACCAGCCCACCGACGACGAAAAAACTGCCAAAATATTCATTTATATTTATTGAAACGAAATATTTTGATTTACAAAAATCTTTACGTCTTAAATTTCTAAACTTATACCTATCAACCATTTTTTAAAAATGCATTTAGTACCACAAAATATACAATCGCTTTTAAGATACCCTGTATATGAAAATATATGTTGAGAGTAGATGGAAGTGATTTCGATTCCTATAAGAAGCGATTTTATGTTTTCATATATTATTTACTCACTTATTTTACATATAAATGGGTAATTAGTTGTATAAAACCTAATTACTTTGTTTAAAAGAAACTAAAAAGAAAGTTGAAAAAAGGAAAGTTTTCTTTTGTTGTTTTCCATGAATTTAAATTCTTAGAATTTAAATAACTTTTCAGGTACCAATTAATGTTAAATATTTCAGGTGCAAACCATTCGTATGTATTACTGCGTCTCAGTGAATTAATTTGCACTACAATAATGTGTGGGCCCCCCTTAATAAAGGCTCATATCTGAAAATTGAATTTATTCTAAAAAGCTGCAGTAAAATGCAAATTGAAAATTGAATATTAATTATTCGATATCTGATATGGGCCACCAGCGGCCGAGCGGTAAAGTCGCTGAACACTGGTAGTTCGAAATCCAGCAAATCGGGCTGGCCATGGGGTTTTCGTGTTTCTGTAACATATATACAGCAGTTTCCTTAGAAAGTCCTCCACGAAGGCATCCCTCCCTTAGGCAGATGCCAAAATTAAATACACCATACCACGATATCTGATATAAAGTATTGTGTTAAGGCATGTTAGGCAAAGTACAATGCATGTTAGGCAAATGTGTTAAGGCACAGTATTGTGTTAGCTTATATTAAAACGTTAAATCAAGATGCGTCTTTTCATGATGACGCTGTGTGTTCGTAATTTAGTGCATCAGGGCAAAAACCATAGTTATTTACATCATTTCTTTGTATTCTTCCTTTATAGAGGCAGTACAAAAACTACTTTAATTTAACCCTTCTGTTCTGAGTAAAAGGCGTCTCTAGAATGTTACAAATAATGCTTTTTGTCAAAAAATATACATATGTAATGTAATAAATATCTTTAAAAATTAATAAATAAACAACTTTTAGACAAAGTTAATGCTAACATTGACTGTTGCAGCTTAATAAATTTCAGTTTAATTCTTGTGCTTTCTGTGGATTAATGTAGCATAACTGGAAATTTCGTTTTCAAATTAAATGCCTACGAAAACCATAATTCTAAACATGATAATTTTTTTCTTTTTTATACTTCTAAAATAAATTCAACACTTTTGGACCAATTAACAAGTTTTCATACAAACCAGTAGCCATTTAGAAATATAAAATTATTTATTAAAAGGAATTACTGTCAAAAGTTTTAAAAGGTTAAAATATGTTTCCTTAAGAATTATGATTAGTAGCAATATCATTAGGGCACCCCTGGCTATTGTTTTGTGCATTTAGACATTGGAAATATAATGATTGATATATTATATTAATTATATTAATCATTATTGATAACGAGTAGTGGGATTTTTTCTAACGAATGGTATGCGTAAAATATTACAGGTAACTACGTTATTTTAGGTACTCAAAGTTTCAAAAAATTGTAAAAAATACCTGCTAGTCGGAGTGCTGACATTCTTTGGAACTCCGGCTCTTCCAGCCACTTGTACATCCGGCGGAAGGTCTCCCTACCGGACTTGAGCTTGCTCCAGGGTTTGGGGTTTCGGAGGAGATCGGACAACGTCCCTTGTGATCTGCAGAGGACTCTCTGCGCGAAGATCGCTTGTGGAATGCTGTACCTCTTAAGCTCTGCGCTGATCCTTTGAGCCAGTTCCTTGGTGTTGATCTCTTCCACCTCCTCAGCCGAGTTGACCTTTTGCTGATGTTGCATGGAGAGTTTGCCACCTCCCCCGTGATGGCTGACTGTACTGACCATCGACACCATGGAACCGTTCATGGAATTGGGCACCGAGGCTTGAATAGGGGCGCTTGGCTGTGTCAGGGGAATGCCCCCGGGTGTAGTAGGTGTCGGAGTAGGAGCCGCACCGGACAAACTACTGACGGGGGGTACGGGCGTCGGAGCAGTTAGGGTCGTTGCTGAGGGTTTAACGTCCCTCACGGACCCCGTTGACTGGAGGTGATGGCCGGACGACTGATGGCCCATGTGTGTCCCATTCACTGTCAGTCCGTTGAGAGTAGACATCATGGACGTGGGGCTGACCGTAGGGCTCTGAGGGCTCACCAACCCCCTCGTAAGATCTCTATGTGCATATGACTCGTAACCATTGGGGGACATATTCTTCTCTGGAGAATGCAGACCGTTCTGAGAATAAGGCGGCGAGGGCACAATGCCGCCCTGTTGTGGGTTTCCTAACCCATTAGCTGCTGTCATCATAGCAGACATGGCAGAGGGATGAGGGTTCATGTTCATGGTTGCCATACTGCCTAATTTCTCATATTGATGATAACTGTTAGCCATGTGCCCCGCCATTCCTAAGTTATTCTGCATAAGAGTGAAACCACCACCAACATTACCCGCATGATGATGTCCATAGTGGTGGGAAAATTTATCGGACATGGTTGAGATGGGGGGCAGCGGCTGCAGGGGTGTCAAAGTCGCGTAGCTGTTGGCCTGGACAGCTGTCGCGAATCCTGGAGGGGACATACGTCCGTTCAGGGTCTGGTACGTCGGCTCCGCCAGCGCCCGAAAATCGGACGCATCCAGCATATTCATGCAGTCCGTGGTGAGGATCCTATTGAACGACGTTCTTAAAAAAAATGGCCTCCGGCCGCGATTTCCCTTGCCACCAACGGATCGCGTGTCGCCGCTTTTCTCGCTGTTCGGGCCGTGGACTGACTGAAACAGAGTCCACGCGTTCTCGCCCACTGCTTTAGTCGGCCCTACCTACTGGCAGCTGATTTGTCCACCGCTCACCCTAGCACCCTCGCGTGTACCGCGCTGTTTTGATGGCAATGGCACGCGGACACACCTCCATGCTTCGGCCACTGAATACGGCGTAACGATCAGTGATTGGGCGGAGCGGGTTCGACGAACCTCCCCCCGCGCCTGCGCGTCCTGGAGAGAACCTGCCGTCGCTCTCGCGCGCGAAAAGAGGGCGCTGCTACCAATGGATGCAGTGGGGTAGGGGAATCAGTTTTGGTTTCGGTGAACTCCTTACTTTTGACGAATGGGAAGACGCTTATACAGGCGCCCGTTTCTAGTCGTTAACTATTCCATTTTGCCCTCTTAATGCTTGCGGTTATTATGCCTCATGTCAATATACTTTTAGTTATAATTTATTCCAGTGACACAGGCGTTCGATATATTTGCGACTTCCTTAGAAATGCGTTTAAAAATGTCATATTTAAATTGGTTTCAAATTTCGCGTATCTGATAAAAATTCTTACAATTTTTTAAATTATTTTTTGAAATGCGGATTAAGTCGCGAATGTTCATTTCGAATTCGTCTGCACCTGCGCAGTTTATGAAATTTACTATCTCGGTGAACTAGGATTTAATTAGGATAATTAATATTAATAACTCTGTTAATTTTTCCCGTTGCGCGCGTAAATGCAAAATGTCTAGTTTAATAACAATTGCGTAAGAATTTTGCATAGTTTATTAACTCGGTAATGAATAATTATGGATTAGTTTCACCCATTTTTAATGACCTCATAGCTTTCTCGAATTGTCAATTCCTTTAAGTAATGAGAGAGAGAGAGGAATAAGTATCAATCTACAATTAATAAATAATTAATATTAAAGTTATATAGTAAAATATATGGTATAATTAAACCAATATGTTGAAAATTAATGAAGACTAAAATATTCTTGCATTTACCCTATTTTTCATTATTATCTTTAAATTATATGATTTCATTTCCCCGATACATGTTAATCCTTCTTTAGTTAGTGGAGTAATTCATTAATTATAACATATTAAATAAGTCAGAAGAATTGCTGAGAGTTATGTAAAGTGTAAGTATAGTTATTAATTATACATCAATAGTACGAATAAATTTATTAAGGAAAGCAGTTATACCATTTGCCTTAATATCAAAGCCCGTAAATAAATGCATTAAAAACTAATAATTCAGCTTACATGAAATTAGTTTTCAAAATTTGGCCAGAATCTAGTAAGAAATAAAAACTTTCAAACGCTTTCTCTATTATTATTGTGGTTATCAAATTTGAACCTAAAAATAAGCAAAAAATTTTTAAACACAATGCTTATTATTAATTTGGTATTTTATTATTTTAAAAAATAAATTATTCAATTATTGGTTTACTGAAGAGTTAAGTACGTAATTTAGAAAGTTACAACCTGCCAAATTCTAATTAAAATATATTTAGTTATTAATTTAATAAGTCTATGAGAAATTAATGAAATTAGCTTATTTAACTGTGAATCATACGTTTTAAACTCTTCCATATCTACAAAATATTTTTAAGTACATAAATGAGCAAATGTTAAAAAAAGAAACAACTCTGAGTAATTTCGTAAATTTTTAAATACTATAAGGAAAACAAAAAAAAGTTTCATTATAAATCTTTATAAAAATATAAATCTTTTTCTTTGAATCATAAAAAGATAATAATTTGTATGTGCTAATAAAGTTTTGCATTTTTTAAACTTAGAAAACGTCAATTTGACTGCTTGCAAGAGAATTAATGTTGCGTCGATAATGAAGTGTTATTTTTTACAACGAAAGGTCACATCCACATATAACTTGCATTTACATCTATTTAAGTACTTCCAGTTTGTTAAATCAAAGCATTAAGCAAAATAAAATCTACAATTTTTTTAAATTTCATTTTGCATGAAGAAAGAACTTTTATTTTGATCTATTTCTCTCATCATATTTAAGTTATTATATTTTACAAATTTTTCAGTTGTAACTGTTTAAATTCAAATATATTTTCAAAACAAATGTAAAAAATTCCTAACTGAAACTTTATTAGCTGAAAATGAATTATTAAAAAACAATGTAAATGCAGAAGAACTTGAGTTTAGTTCTATATGTTCTTCTATCACACAATTTTCGATCAAGGAATTTACAATTAAAGAAAATATAATTTTCATGTTAATAATAATGATATAAATCTGTTTCGTATTCTTCACATGCTATTCGCAGTTAAATATTTATAATCTGGAATCGAATTTAAATTATTATGTCAGAATTTTCTCTCGGAATTTTACAGAAATATTCGTATATGCTTTACGCATTTAAAAGATATTCCTTTTGTAAGTAAAGACACGTATTTAAAACACAGGCTTGTGAAATTTAAGTGTTTGAAATTTTTAACCAAAAGGGGCGTACACCCAAAGTGCTATTAGCCTCAAAATGGCATTTTGCGTCTTTTAACTTTCTGCGTTGATTCACTTTTCAAACACCAAATATTATCACCATGTACTGTATTTAAAAAAACTAAATAATGAAAAATCTGCAATAATGCATGAATGTTCCTCGCACTGTGAAAGAACAACTGTACCCTCAGCCATCAAATTTTGAATAACGTAGTCCGCAGTCCTCCAACCGAACATGTGCACTTGGAAGCGCGAATTTTTAATTATAAATTCGTTTTATTATCTATTTCAAATTTCGTAAAACGTCAACGAATTTTGGATTAACAAACTGAAGTATTTTAAAGTGAGCAATGGCAACACTGTAGGGAAGGGGAGGAATAATTATCTCCAGCGACCTAGACTGTGTATCAGAAATTTTAGAGATATGCTGTTTGGCTGTTGTTAAGTTTGTGATATTGCGGTTGAATTGAATTTTATGTGGTTTAAGTGATAACGTGATATTTAATAAATAAAGGTAACATCCAAAATATTAAAAAAACGCACTTTTGGGCGTAATATAAAATCTGAAAGCTTTCAGATTTTCCTTTTTGATTATTTTTAATCAAAGGGCGTTAGCCCAGTTGACATTTTGCGTAATTTCGTTTTGGCATTTTGCGTTGAAAACTTTAAATGTCGGTTCGCTTTTCAAATTGTTGCCACCAAATATTATCGCCCTGTGTTATATTTAAAGAAATTAAAGAATGAAGAATCTGCATAATTGGGATGAAACAACGGTACCTAAAGCTATCAAATTTTGAATAACGTAATCTTCCATATGGGCATCTGGAAGCCCTAATTTGGAATTTGAAATTCGTTTTATTATCGATTTCATACTTTGTAAAACTTCAACGAATTTTTGTTTCACAAACTCAATGCTTTCAAAGCAAGCAATGGCATAATGTGTACGAAAAGAAAAATATTTTTATCTCCATGGCGCGAGACTGTGTATCGGAAATTCTAAAGATATGTTCATTTAAAAATTATTTTTGCGATATTGCTGTTGAATTGAATTTTATGGTTTAAATGCAAAAAATATTTAATAAATAAAGGTAACACACAAAAATTAAAAAAGGCATCTTTTTGGGCGTAATGTTAACTAAAAGCTTTCAGATTTTTTAATGATTTTTTTTTTATTATTATTTTACAAAGTATATAGATTTTGAGATTAATTCCACCTCAGTCCCAAATTTCCTTCAACCACAATTTTCATTTCATTTTCCTTGAGCCCTTTCTTGATATTTGCAGAGCAAATTAAAATATATTTAAAAAAACTGACCCTGTCGACAGCTCTTGTCAGGTAATGATATGCTTTAGCTTATATTACTCTTCAATAATATAGCAATATCTAAATTTAGCCTGCAAAACATTCTGAAAATAATGAATCACGTTTCATTTCGTTAATTATCTGTACTTATCGAAAGCTTCTCATGTATTTCACCAAGATTTTGTCAAAAAATACGGTTAAATGCAAATTTAAGAATTAGAATTATGCATTTAATTGAAATGATCTTTAATTTGCTAGTCTAACTTGAACTAGGGTCATATCCTTATTCATAATCCCAAAATTTAATAATGATATAACTTTCATGCCTATCATAATTAATTTACATCAGTTAATTACCCTGCATTGGCAGCATGCTTTCGCGTTGTCGTCCTTGAAATAAGGTCTCTAAAATGTAGCTGAATTATAATTGTTTTAATACTAATTTTTAATTGAACTATGTTATCGGATTATTATTAAATGTTTATGCACGGATATTTAATTATTATATGTCTACGATTTGATTTGTATGAAAGAGGAGTAGTTGAATTTATTAAAGAAATGTCGAAAACGAAACCATCATTGCATTCGATGCCATTTTAAATAACGGTTAGTAAACAATATTTTTTAAGATAAAGAAGCTTTTTAAAACATTTTTATGTAAAGTTATTTTTTGAATGTTCTGCTTGATAAAAATACCTTTCCTTAATTTAGCTGCTGAAAAGAAAGGAAATCTCTTGAGCTATTTAAGAAATGACTACTTTCTGCAAACTGGTCCAGGAAATCCAATTTTATTTCAAGCATTTTCTTTTTGCTGAAGACGCTTGGCGTAACCTGTTTGTTGTTGTTGTTGTTGTTGTTTCCTACCCTCCATATATGAAAGGGTCTTTCTCATGTTCATGAATTCGTGATGGTCATGAGGCAAAATAAGCTCCTAGCTTTGACCAGAACCTTAAAATTACGTTGCAGGTGATTTTTTTGCATTTTATCCAGCTTCATCCTAGTTTTGAAGCAGAATCTCCAAGAGACGGATCCGAGGACCTCCTATCTTCTTTACTTAACACCTGCCTCTCGAGAGAACTTTCGGCTTGAAAGGATTTTAAGGGTCCTCATGTTTCAATGCTGCTATACACTTACAAACATCCATGCCATCTTCGGGGCGAACTTTTATC